GGAAAACGACTCAAGGCTTGTAATCCTTTGTAGTTGTTGTATCAACGACATGGGACTATGTTTCCATATTTAGCGGTCACCAGACGCTAATTCTCCCGTCATATTCCTTCCTCGTTCTCCCTCTGCTTAAGCTCCAGACTATTGCTGTATTTGCTTCACACGCCCCGTACAACTGTTATACATCCAATCTGGCTGGTAATGGTCGACACCCACATAGTGGCCGAAATAATCTGCGACTCTATGTCCTCCTTACTATCTATGTCAATTTCCTCGTACAACCCAGATCCAGCTGCTACGGTAATGCGTATACCCTCACCGATTGTAACGACTTTGACGGCCGTTGCGGGGCCGTCTTGAAGCCAAAATATATCAGTGCAATGAAGGCGTGGCGATGCCTCACCCTGGCTGATGGCACACTCGCGAGTATTCTCTTCCTACCTGCCACCCACTCGGGCCCGTAACTGCAACGGTGAACTACTCCCCACCCAGTCCCGACCGCCGCTTAAAGAAATTCATTCTAACCTGCTGAAAATTTCGTTTAGCATTAACCCCTCTGGTTTCTCGTTGCGATTTCGGTTCGCTTCCTCCACAAGTTCAATTCCATTTACGGTGTTCGTTTCGCTATATACATCTTCATCATATCTCCATCAAAACAATATTTTACACCTGACATGGTAATGCTGATGATAATGCTCATTCTCAAATGGTGGGTGGATTACCGTCGGGTATGGTAATACATTTACAGTCAGAATAGAACACCGCTAGGGGGTTTGCGGGGATTGCGTGAAAAAGGACAATTTCATAATTAGTGGACAATATCCCACGTAGACTTGCCCACGCCTAAGCAGGCATGGGAAAGGAAACATAGCTGCCAGAAGTTTATTTTACTTTCAGGGGACACATCAAGCTGAGACAAGATCAGATCGTTGAGGTTTGAAAGTGGTGGCCACAAACGGAACAAGAGGCGGCGAAAAAGAAACATCCTGCTTGGCGCGCGATGGAAAAACTCCAGACTGCGAAAAGTTATAAAAAAGAAAAACAAATCTGGTCAGTTAGCTGGATGGCCACGATCTGGCCGGTCAAAATGAACCAGTTCCGAGACGTATTCGGCCTTCGGCTGTGGGGCTTATGACCTTGGTCATGAAAAGCGAATGCGGGAAGTAGAGGAATCAGTAATACGGATAAACTGTGGGGGGAGATCTCATACTCACGCTGTACATTGAAACTGTGGATACTCGCTGGTGTCACTGCTCAAGTGATTTCTGAAGCAAGTTAATTGGGGGAGGCATTTTTGTTGCTAATGCACACGAGGAACGCAAACTGCCCAGAAGATAATTTAGTTTGTAAGCAGCATAGACTGAAAGTCAGCGAGATGTTTATATCCGAACAAGAGGTTCAACGGTTTAGGATGAGCGCGTTTCGGAGGCTGCTGGAGCGAGGTGGAGAGGTTGTTCGTGGTTGTAAGCAAGGGCACGAGTGAGCGAAGGCATCGTCAAAAGCAGGAAGTATGTGGCTGCGGCTATGCTATCAAACTGGCTTTGAAAGTGTCATACTATCATTGCACTGATGTACACCACTTTCTTGACAATCCCGTGACGGACAGCATGTGTGACACGCTTGGCCTGGGAGGTGCGATTCTGTGAGCAGCGGGATCTTTTTTTGCGGAGGGGTTGGTCCAAGGAATTTGCTGATGGAGGATGAAGCCATTGTGAGGTGTGTCTTTTGGTCCGCATGGAGGTCCATTCGGGTGTGAAGCATAGACCAAATAAAGCGAATAACAGCCAAACGTAGCTTCCAAATCGGGAGTAGCCGAAGATCCAATCTTGGGAAGAAGAGAGAATTGGGTGAGGTCAGTAAAGCCCGATAAGATTTAGGAGGCATAATATAGGAGTAAGTCCAAAAATAGGGGAAAACTGAACGTTCACCACAATGAAGATGGTGGCAGAATGTGACTGAGTGAAAAAGGATTGTGGTGGGGGTATAATTTATTGGTATCATTATTATTATTGTTTATCATCATACCTGACGGTATGCCACTCAAGTTGGGAATAAGCATCATTATTATTATTACAATATTATTATTAGTAGTAGTATTCATTCCCAACTTGTGAGCGGCTTAACGTTAGGCATGGTCGCAATGTTACAGTCAGAATCATGACTGGTTAATTTATTGGTATCATTATTATTATTGTTTATCATCATACCTGACGGTATGCCACTCAAGTTGGGAATAAGCATCATTATTATTATTACAATATTATTATTAGTAGTAGTATTCATTCCCAACTTGTGAGCGGCTTAACGTTAGGCATGGTCGCAATGTTACAGTCAGAATAAAAGCATGACTGGTGGGAATCGCGGGCACAGGGGGCTGTGAAAGGGACGGCGTTATTGGATGTGGGCATTATCCGATGTAAATGTTGTCATCACCAGGCCACCACGAGCAGGGGAGCACAATTACTGTGCTTTTTTGGAGGGAATATGGAGCAAGATCGGATCGTTAGTATTTGAAGGTGGCGGGCGAGAAGTAAAGTGAGGGAGGGTAAAACAAGGAACTTCCAGCCACATGACACATGGCAAGGGATGTATAACGGTGAAAAATGAAGAACCAGAATAGCAGATCAGGTGCAGCAACAGAGTTGTCGTCATCCGTATGGTCAACGACCGAAACTCTTTAAGCCTGCCAATCTAAGCCATCACAGTAGCAGAGAGAGAAGTGCGCATAGACTTGATGTGGTCAGGGAAGAAAATACAACAACTGAGGGGTGTAAAACTTCCGGAATGATCAACCATATTTCGCGGGGTTATTTCATGCGCTGGCCAACACCATCATCCAGGCCGAGTACTCCCGAAGCACCGATATCAGCTTCAATAAGCTAGTGGCGCATGGCGAAAAGGCCTTTAGGAGCCCGCCTTGCCTCACTGCTTACATATTATTTTTTGTTGCATGTATCCGCTCCTGGGAGCAGCAGGAAGGCGTGTCTTGTTTGACGACGTGAGCCTTGGCAAGGTGCAGCCCAAGTCATGACGAAGGAAGCTACTGCTACGCATGTCTGTTAAAGCTGTGGGCATCGCAGAGTATGTTCAGGCCATCTTAAGTGTTTTTTATGAATTTTCGACGAACCAAAGGTCCTTTTTTCCCATTCGTTGTTTGTGGCATTGCCAGATAAGCGACACATCCAAGACGAGTGCATCAGCAGCAGCAAAAACAAACAGAAAACAACGATACCATTTATGGTTCTCCTGAATCAAAGGCCAGACTCAGATTCACCGGCCCTGGTGAGTGCAGCCGTGCTACTAAAAAGGTGGCGGGTATACGAACGTTAAAGGGCGACCCTTTCAGATATGCATGCCCACTAAATGAGGTTTTCATCCCCCGTACATGCTACGAGATCTGCAAGAAGGAATAGCACAAAGCAGTCGTAAACGCGGCTCGTGTATGAATTAGTTGCTTTAGCCACTAAATCTTTTCTCCGGTCGGAGGGAAAGCCAAGCCCTTAAAATAGCCCAGTCAGGTCGAACGGACAAAAAGCGAACAGACGCTGGTGGGGACAGGTTGAGGAGGGGACAAGCGGAAATGGCATATTCCATATATATATGTATATATATATGCATATATGCATACTGGAGTATTGAAGAAGCGCTTCCCGGAATACGTCACATATTCTACAGATCCCCAAACGCATGTTAGTAACCTGCCGCCGAAATACGAGAAGCGACAAGAAGGGATTCAGAACTCTGATGCGTGCTTCGTTTTGTTTCATACGGATGGTCGTAGAATGTTGGAAGTACAATAAGTGGTTGCTGGGACTGATCGTGCATACCAACGTATGCTTGCTTTGAAGTACAGGGGTGGTCATTCCAAGATGCTGCCATCCGGAAATTTGAGGGGGTTTACATCCAGGTCACCCAGGTAACATGCGAATGATGGCTCTAGCCTGATACTAATTCTGCTGCCCTGATGTTGAACTAAAGGTGCGAGCGTGACGCATGCCTACAAAAAAAGCATTGCCAGCAGCATTGTCCACCGCGACCGAAGAGCAGCGTAGATGTGGAATATTGTGGCCCCGTTGATCGTTTCGTGATCCTTGTGATTGATCGCGTGTATTCCAAATGGATTAAAGCGGTACCCACTAGAACTACATTTAGTGCATCGATCATATCTACTATACACGGTACGTCCGCATCGCACGATGTACCCGGTTCGACAGTCTTTCATAGAGCACAACATTCACCGGTGCGTGTTTTCAACTGGGATAGAATATGCTTCAACAGCACCGTACCATTCTGCTTCCAATTACTTAGCCGAAGGCTCGGCTGCAACGCTGAACAACGGGTTGGTGAAACAAGGCTCAGTGCATCTACAAACAGGATTGGAAATTGGTAATTTACGCTGCACACTTAGACAGTCCAGACAAGTTGTGAATTGTTAGTGGAACGTAGACCTCATGTACGTTCTGTTCAGCTACAGCCGTATTTGATGGTTATGCTCAGGCAAAGCGCAGGTGTACATTCCGAATCGCACAGAATGAAGCAGTAAGAAAGTGTACGTCAAATTTCAGCCTTCATCTAAGGGATAGGTATGTGGATGTGTGATATCAACAAACTGTGGTGCTATCGATTTGCCGTTAGAAAACGGAAGGATATCACACCGTCATTTAGACCATGCAAGAACTAGGAAATATGGAACAGATATGAAAAGGACACTTGAGTTCACGGTATAGATGGGCACCAGAATGAAGCAAGATAGCTTAGATGTTGCTACTGATTCGCCAGGCCTATCAGCACGGAAATCAAAGCCACTCGAGAGCCAGCAGGCAAAAATGTGATAAGTTGTCCTGTGAAGACTGAGGTCAGGTGTTGTAGAAACTTTTTTTGGATTATAGCCACCCATAGATCGTTAACCATTTTTATACTAGGTAACTATTTTTTCACCAAGGCTCCCTAACTTTCTGCGGTCACAGAGTTAAACAGGTCTCCCTTCTTCAGTAGACTAAATAGGTCTCAGTCCCCAGGGCGTTTAAACCTTCTACACTATTATTCCTCAACCTACCTCGAAGTAATTCATTATGACACCGCTCCCGTCTTCCTCCTCTAAGCGGTTGCCAGACCCCGAATCCCCATCAAGTATCTCCACAGTATATCCAAAGAGGCGGCTCGCAGCCAGAAGACCCAGCTCCCAACCCCCACATCCATCGAGGCCGGCAAAAACTGTACCACAGATTGTTCAGTAGTCCTAACTGATATATCTTTGCTTCCGCAACCTGGCAGCACTCTCCCCTCACAACTACCAGTAGAATCTCAGGCCTTGAAAGAACTGGAAAATCTCAGAATCCGCCTACATAATATGGAAAGTTAAATGTCTTCCTTGCGAACCATACAATCGATTG